CCCCAAAACCCCAAAACCCCAAAACCCCAAAACCCCTTTTTGGTTTATTGTTTTTGAAAATTACTTTTATTTTCGCTTGACTCTTATTTTGAAGCAAATGTGTTGGATCCCCCAAGTATTTTGTTTTGACTAAAACTCTTAGTACTCTTGCTTGGATTGGACATACTATTTGGACCTGGATTTTCTCTTTTGATTCTTGAAGAAGGACCGATTCTTTCATTTTGTATCTTTAAGGAATTAATAGTATCTCTAAATCCAGAGAAAGCTATTAGCACTACAGTAACATTATCCAAGCTTCTCTTATTTAAAGAATTTTTCATTATTCATTCTGCTCCTAAGCCGATGAGTTGGTGAACATCAAGGTTGGGATTTTGAAAGACAGAGTTCCAGACTCAATCTACTCAATCACGGTCTGTTAATTTATCGAAAATTCCGTCTCAGCCAAGGATAATATAATCATGAAGCCTGTCAATTTTGAAACTTCTTATTTCTGGTGTTCATACAACAACATCAGGATTTCCTCCTTTTGTGGGAATTTTTGCTTCAGGATCCCCAAAAGTTCTGCTGACTGATAACCTACCAGGAAATACTCGAACTGGGCCGATAATAATATCTGGAACCATCGAAAGATTATTTGGACTTGCAACTGTGGCAGTCTGATAAATTTGCCCTCCAGATTGATGGATCCTCTTCTTCTCAAGAGCATCAGAGGGTTTGTGATCAGTTGAAAGAGCTTTGGCTTTTCTTCCTTGATCATAACTAAGAACAGCTCTACTATCGCCTACATTTACTACATATCATTGGTCTCCAACAATGAGAGTAACTATGGCTCAAGATCCACTTTTCTCTATAATTTCGCCTTTTTCTTGTCAGTTTTGAATGAATTTTTTTTCAGCAGCTAAGAAACCTTTCCTAAGAGCTTCTTCTGGGTAATCGGGAAATGAGGGTTCTTTGATTACGTATTGATGAAGATTATCTCTCAAAAAGTCTGCACATGCTGCTCCTCCATGACCATCAAATACTCCAAAAAAGCTTCATTTTGGCCAGTTTTCCCCTCTACGGTCTTGTGGTTTGAGTATATTGAGAATAATGGAGACTCTGTCTTCATTATAGTTCCTAATAATACCTCTGTTAGTATTAGCAGCATATGCCTTCACAATGCCATTGTTCTTAGTTGATCATTTGGATTTCTCTACAGTAGTATCTGTAATTCTGTGACTGGGTAGTAAAGATATCTCAGGTTCGTCTTCTTCAGGGTTTGAAATAGGGTCATTCAGTATATACTGCCTAATTTGGCCATCATTTGACATTACTGGAGTTATTGTAGAGTGATCTTGAAGATTTCCAGTCTTGAAATGGTACAATATTTGATATTTGACTTCTCTTGTTTTTACACTGTCTTCATTCTCCTCTTTAGTCTCCTCCTTTGAGTTTATTCTTGGTTTAGAGTACTCCTTAGGCTCTCTCCCAGATGTACCTTGAGACCTATCCTTTGGATGCCCCGTCTTCTTTACGGTTTTGCTAATCAAACCTGGATTTGGAGGTTTATTTTAACATTCTTGTATCATAATTTGAAGAATAATTATCCAGCTTTGCATTATCCTTAGTCTCAATTTTAGCCTTCTGGTTTGATTTTAGCTTGTTAAAGGTTGCACTTTGAGTCCTTAATCTAGGTATTTCTGAAGAAGTGGTCTTATTCCTTGATATTTTCTTGAATCTTTTTGAGATTGAAGAATGGTAATTTTCTCCCCTCAACCTTGAAATATTTTCATTCTTAGGTGCTAAGCTGCTATGCCTGTTGTCTACTTCTCTATAGCTGTTAGTTTCAAGCCCTCTGTTAATACTAGTTGCCTTTAGGGTGTATAACTTTCTGATTCCACTCATAGATTTAATCTTCGAGTTTCTTCCAGCTCCAGTTCTATTCGGCTTGAGGTTGTTTGTGTTTAGAGAAGCAGAGTTATTTTCCTTGTTTTCAATCTTACTACATCCTCTGAACGAAGTCTTGTTCTTGGAATTATTAGAATTTAGAGATTTCACATTTTCTTTCTTATAAATCAATCTAGCTTGGCCTGAGTGATTACTGCCTCTTGAACTAAGTTTACGGGATTTGCTATGATGCTCTTTGGAGATCTAGAGAAATTAAATTCAGGATTTACCCTATTTTGACTGAACTGTTTTATTTTAGATCCAGGCCTGGGCTCTTTCTTCATTGCAAACCTGATCTTATGATCGTTCTTCTCCATAACCTCTGAAGAAATTCTTTTAGTATTTGGGGCATTTAGAGTACTGTGTGCTGGTGGCTTAGCTAAAAATTTGTATTCTTCTCGCTTATTCATACTACTTGAGGAAGCCCTTTGCTTATAATTTAGTTCTTTGCTTATAAGGAGTAATCTGACCGAGGAATTGGTGGGTTTAGACCAGACTTGTTCTCATCAAGTGGCTTAGTGGCTCTTCCAAATTTTCACCTGGTTGTGAAATTCCTTCAGCTATTTTCTTTATCATCATAAGTATTCCTTTTAGCACTGTCTGGTTTTAAGGAATTAGAACAGCTCCTGTTTTTAAAAGAGGAACCAGCATTTCGGTACTTATTTTTCGACGAGCCTGTTCTCTTGCTTTGAAGATTGTCTATTTTGTACAAATTATTTAGCATATATTTTAGGTACAGTCTTGTATATTGAAAAATCATTGGCCTGAGCTGATGATGAAAGAGGTCTCTTCTTATCTCTGTAGTCGAACATTTTTAAATTCAAATTATATGCGAATTTTAAATTTCAAATACTTTATATAAAGAGGGGTTTTGGGGTTTTGGGGTTTTGGGG